TGCGTTCACTTCCGAGCACGTGGAGGGACCAGCCCACAGAGGCTTTATGAAAATGTAAGTGTAGCCCCAGAGAGGCAAAGACAAAGAAACAGAGAGATAAAAGAGCTGTGACCATCCACTCTATTCCCACTGGCTTCTCTCCTCCATCAACCTGGCAATGCCAAGGAAATACAGTTCATTATCATTGATCACACTAGACTCCACACTCCCACATGTACTCTAAGGAGGTTACACACATATATACTCAGCAAAGCACCCGCCTAACAAGGTAACCTAAATTGATGTCTGTAGCCTCAGTGCCTGGTAAAATTAAAATCATCTAAGTCTTGTCAAGAACGGCTTTCATATATGCCGAGTTACCAGGTTTGCAGATAATAGAAAACTGCTTAGCGGCGCATTGTTTAATATCTCAAATACCGTAACAGCACAAACCAGCACAAAGGAAGCACAAACGGAAGACACCATTTTGACCTTAATTTGCGTTGGGTGGGGGGGCAACTTCACCGGGGTTCACACAGCTTATGTGCACGACACCTTCTCATCAAGCAGGGGCGCCACATATGGCAGATAATAGAAAACTGCTTAGCGGCGCAGATTCTTTTCTTTCCAAGTGTTTGTGCTGTCCCCCCCACCCCCCGTGCCAGGACAAAATGCCGCCCCGGGCTGCCCGGTTCGTCCATGCCAAAACCCGCCGCTGTACACAAGCCTAGGTTTTTCTCAAGTATCCGTCTAATTAATTTGAGATGTTAGTTAAGCACAAGTGAGATCAAAATGGTAAAACACGTATACTGCAAAAATGAGCTGAGCAGAAATCAAACAGCTAAAGTAGATGATAGTTTAATCAGTGTTGCTCAGTGAGCCTGTACTACTGGATGCTTTCACACAGGCATGTGTGGGCAAGTTAACACTAAACCCAGAGGGAGTTTGTTTCACTGTTCTCTTTTTTGTTAAACGAGATGAAAACTTAAAAAACACACACCAGGAACTTATTTTCTTCTTTAATGTATTTACAGAATACACTAGGCTCTAAATGTGAGAGGAAGCCTGCTGGTGTGCACTGCACTTCAGATGCGTCATCTGTTGCCACGGAAAGTCTGTTACTTCACTTTATGTACAGACCTACCAGGAATAACATTTAAATATCTCGCCTATTAGTTTTCCACTTAGAAATATGTGAAAATCGTTATATTTTATGACTAAAGAGCAGTTGCTGTTCCATTTTGGCCTAAACGAGCTGTGGTTAAACGAATCTACGGCCTCCTGCCGCACACAGCAGCTGCTGTGACGGGGAGTTTACTGCTGTACTGTTGCTGGTTTCAGCTGAAGGGCTGATAAAAATAAAAGTGAAAGTAAATGCTGGCACATTAGCCATTGTAGCAAACCGTTTATCCGACGCTTTCCGCAGTTGTGGATGGATTTCTTTTCAAAACCTCCATATGGAATAATGAGAGCTTAATATAAGGTGAGTTTTCTGTTTAAGGTGGACTAAATTATAGAGCTGCATAAACTAATCTTATACTCTACACGGAGATTTAAAAAAACAGCCCCATGAGATGTGGTATGTGAAAAGCAGTAAGTCAAACTTTCTTTGTCCATAATCATGTTTTGAGTTCTTGTTCCCTCGTTGTCATTGTCATTTATTAAGCATTTCTCTGTTTTGAATGAATCATAAAGTGAACTTAACGTAAACGATCACACGTCTGAACATGTATGGAGCTGCCCATCACCTCTTTCTTTACCTTGAGTTTCTCTTTACACCTTGATCTGTAATGTTTCTCGATTTAATAAAACTATTCCAGGCTGTATTGATGTACATATTGTTTTGGCTGCATGATTCTTAAACAGGCAGTTGCATATTTTAAACATTTTAAGAGCGACTGGTATTTAAATGGTATTTTCATAGGGTAACCGTTAAATAGTCGTGAGTAGGCAATTGGTTCATGTAAACTTTGGGTCGGATTAAGCATCACAAGACCAGATTTAACTGGGGGAAGTGTGCATGCAGGAAAACAATCTACTCCCTGGGCTAAGAATCTAGTCCTAAGCCTGAGAATCGATTTCCGAGTTCTGGAATTTAACACAAACACTTTTTTTGCTGTATTGTTTCCAGCGTTAAACAAACTCTTTAACAGCCACTAGATGTCGCCAAACGCACCCATTGGCTTACATATGCAGTGATTATTCACATTTAATTCCAAACATATCTTTAAACAACAGTCAAACTTTAACGGACTGATGTATGTGTCCCCATCAGAGATGTAAGGTATACATACTGTACTGTGGGGTCTCCTGTATATATGACTATTTGTTTTTAACTTTTTTAGTTATCTTTAATTATGTTTAAGTTATGTTTTTGTAGTGACTAAGACTGTAAATGTGATTCTAATCCACAGCATTTCTTCTGCTCCAAAGGGAAATGTCATGTGTTTTTTTTTTTTTTTGACAGCTGTACTTTGTAAATTTAGCTTTTACTCTCAAAAGCGTGAGACATTTGATGTTTAAACTATTTTACAAACTAGTCAGTGCATCATGTTTTATTACTATATGTAATTTGCAATGTCTGAACCTTGAAGTTTTTACTAGTGAACACGAGGTGTCGTCATTGGTCAAGACTTACACAAATGCCTTATCTTGAATAGCCACTAGATGGCCCTCAGACCATTATTATAACAAACAGCAACTTGGCATGTTTGTCTGATGCATGTGAAATAGGACGTATTGTGGTTTCTGTGTTAGTGACTCGCCCAGCCTTGATGCGTCTTGATGACTTGATCACACAGTTAGTGTATGTGTGTGTGTGTGTGTGTGTGTGTGCGTGTGTATGTAAAGACAGGTAGACCACAACAGTTCACTTTTTTATCACAGTCACCCTGCAGAGCTGTTTCATATGTCTTGTAATAAAAACAGGAACTATATCTTCAAAAGTAGGGCAAAGATTCTTGACCTACTTTGAACCCAACCAGCCAGCAGGCACGTTTGCATAGCAGCATTACAGGAACCTTTGTGCTGCACAAATATGCATCACAGCAGCATAAAATTGCCCCTATATCATCACCTGACAGAACTTTCAGACAGGAAAACCTTGCAGAATGCACGCAGAGATGACTGAAACTGCATTAGACCTTGTGCACATGTGAGAGCATATGAATGCTTGTGCCTTAGGTATGCCTTTGTCTTGTTTTCATGCACTCTGTTTTGCTGTTGAATGTTTGTGTTATCAGTTATAACCAGTTACTAAAAGAGGTAGATAACTTGCTGCCACAGCAGTGGCAGTTCTACATTGAATTACTCCCTGGGCGAGACACCTCCCTTTGAGGGGGTATAGTCTGTATACAAAAATATGTGCAATCAGAATATAACAAGAGCAGAGAACAAATTATAGGTCTGTGTTTATAATATTATGAATAAAATGTGCGTTGTTTGGAAGAAAGTCAAGGTGTCACTGACTTAGTTTAGCCTACTAAGTGGACATATGCATATTCTG